CAGGAGTAGTAGTAGTAGTAGTAGTAGTAGTAGTAGTAGTAGTAGTCCTCCTACTACTACTACTACTACCACTACTACTACTACTACTACTACTACTAGTACTACCACTACTACTACTACTGCTGCTACTTTTTTGGAGATTACAGTTGGGCTTGTACTGTGGTATTTTATGAACACAGGCTTACTAACGTTTAGACTTTGGTTTCTGAGAAGTTCGGGGATGGGTAGCTTTGGTCTCAGGATTCATTTTCTACGGTGTGGAATTTCGGGTTTCGGGTTAGGGCTAGTGTTGTTTGAATTTAAAAGCACCCAGGCCTCGTCTAGTGTGACTTTTCCCATAGCTTCTTCCAGCTCGCTCATGAAGAGCTGTTCCTCCACGTCCTCTGCAACCGACATCGCACTCCTCTCAGCATGCTCACAGAACAGCCCCCACATNNTTTGTCGATGGCCACGAGAGCAGCCATCTCTGCCTTGTCCAGGTGGGCTTCGATCTCCTTGGTCTTCTTGGACCTCCACTGCTCCGTGGCAGAAGCACGTCGGTGCAGTAGGCCCTCATCCAACTCCCCGTTGTCCAACTGCTGCCGAAGCTTGTGGATCATCTGTTCGGACTGGTTGTGGACTGCAGCTAGCATCGTTGCGGTTTTGGTCTTCAGTGCCTGAAACGAACCAACCTGAACCCAAGCTGCATTGATGAATTGCAGCCTGTAGGGCAAGCCCTGCATATCCACAAGCAAGTCGCTCCTGCACTGATCAAGCGATACAACACCGCGCTCCGGATGCCGAGGCAAGGCATCCTGCATCCAGGGCATCATCGACGAAGCATCTTGGACTTCCTGAAGAGGGGGCCACTGCTTGTCCGTGCACGGCATGCCATAGTAGCCCTCGAAGATCAACCTCCGGCGACTTGTCGAGGGCTCCTCCTCTGCCTCCGGAAAATCCCCCAGCACCAGAGTGCTTGTTGAGCGAGCCACCGTGGTGAGGCTGTCTGGCCGGCGGATCGATGGACCTGGCCCCGAGCCTGCAGACATACATATTAACAAAGCACAAAGGGTTTAGGGTTTTTAAGCAAGGGTTTGGGGTTTAGGGTAAAAGCCACACATCCTAAACTAAGTGTAGACAGTGTAGACCCAGCTCTAGCACCTTAAGAATGCGAAAATAACTCTAGATCTATCCGATATATATACATATACATATATACATATATACATATATACATATATACATATATATATATAGAACTAGACTTCGATTTATAATTACATGAAGTTAGATAGCATACATAGCCACCCAGAAAACCTATTTGGGAAAAAGGTTTTAGGGTATGGTCTTAGAAGAAATATTATACATTATTAACAGGGCTTTTTCATTCTATCGGGCAGCCTGGCTGCACTTCTTCAGGCTGAGACATGGAACTTGGCACCTCCAGCAGGGACTCTAGAATGTTTAGAACACAACCAAGAATCGAAACTATGGATCTTCATAGTAACAGAATTAATGTGGCCTCCTCATCTGCAAAGAGTGTCTTCCGGGCTTTCTTGTAGTCCGGGCTCTTGATGGGTGTGTAGCCTGGCTTCACAGGTGTGCCAAACTTTGCGGGGCCCGGCGTAGACATTTGCACATCCTTGGTTGGGCTCGGAGGCTTCCCGGCGGCCTTTGGCACCGGTGGGCTCATGGAAACATCCTCAGTCTGGTTGTTCTGGAGTTTGGGCTTCAGGGGGGTGCCGGGAAGTTCCTTTTCCGGCACCGGCACTTTCGGGTAGCCAGCTTGTCCCGAGGCTGGTGGACGGGACGGCGATACTGCTTTCGGCTTTGCTGGCAGTGGCTGCAGGCTGGGAGGCTTTCTTCGGTACCGGCATAGGCCACGGCATGGGCTGCACGGGTTGGGCTTGGGTTTTCGCGGGCTTCGAGGTTGGAAGTTCTCGCTTGGTCGCCAGAGAACCTTAGGTATGCGGGTTTAGGGGTTTAGGAATTAGGGCGGGGCTTTGAATTTCAGGGTTTAGGGGTGCAGGGCTTAAATAGTTAGCACAGTACATGACATCGATTGTCCCAAACTATTCGGAAATTGTCTTAAAACCAAGAAGCCTTTCATTGCTGTCGCCTTCACATCCCCAGGGGCTTTAAGGTCCGGAGGCGGAGATGTCGTAGGTTTCTTTGCAGCAGGTGCTCCGGGCACAAACGGCGTCTTGCTACTCATGCGTCTCGAAGGTTTTGCTGCCTGCTTAGCCTGCTCTGTCCCACCAGTGTCTCCGGATCCTGCATGCGGCTGGATTATTGCTTAGCTTGCTTATACCTTGTGATTTTATAACATAAACATCCCAGCCAGCCTTGCACACCTGCAGCTTTCAAAGCTTCTGCAACCTCATCTGAGATCTTCTTCTTGGCCTGCCCGATAGGTTGAGAGTTCTGTGGGTTTAGAGTAGCGGTTAGGGTTTCGGGTATGGGCTTGTGATTTTATGGTGGTGCTTGGGGTTGAGGACATTGGTCTGAGGTTCAGGTACATGTACTATTGGCCATGAGGTTTTATTATCTGTGGGCTTAGGGTGCAAGGGGTCTGGTCCGAAGGGGCCTGGTTTGGGGTTGCCATGAGCCCCAAATGTTGCAAGTTTCGGGTTGAATATTATAGGGGATTGGGGCTTGCTTTGCCTGTACTGCAGGAGTGGCTCCCGTAGTGGCCCCCGTGGATGCCATGGCACAACTAACGGCCACTAACGGCCCCTAACGGCCGGAAGTGTCCCAGAGCCACCTTTGAACGCCCAATAACGCCCCCTAACGGCCCTGCCCAAATCCCAACTAACGGCCCCTAACGGCTCCTAACGGCCAAAAGTTGCCCGGAGGACCCTTTGAACTCCCAATAACGCTCACTAACTTCCGGGCCGGGCACCTAAAATCCACTAACGGCCCCTAACGGCTGCTAACGGCCAGAACTGCCCCAGAGGAACCTTTGAACGCCAAATAACGCTCTCTAACGCTGCTAGTGGCTTTCAGCAAAATATCCTGTATTACAGCAGGGATTGAATCTCTGATCATGAGATTTGAGCAGATCAAGGCCTCGCATCACATGCTTGGCAGGCATCCGTCTACATGTGCACAGAAGGACATGTACCTGAACCATGCATGTGCATGATCTCTATATATAGCACATCTCAAACTAGTACTTGAATCCAGCATCTATAGGTACTTAGGACCCTCAAGGAATGGTAGTGTTTATAGCACACACAACGACATGTCGTCGGTCTATATTATCCTATCTTGCTCGTCGACATGCCGGTTTGGGCGGTCTCTCCTGCATGTAGGCCAGCAATCGTATGTAAAGCCACATGAGCTGTTTTGTCCGGTGTTGCAGCGATACCGATACATGGCGATGTGAAACATGCATCTGCTGTAGATGTCCAGTGCAACCCGAGCACCTAGACAGAAGTAGTCACTGTATGTCTACATATACTACGGTACACTGGAATCGACATGTGCCACTACACTTCATTAAACACATGTGTCTCGTCCTCGAGGGGTATACCAATGCAACAAGTACTTTAATTTTACTCAGTTGAGTACACAATTCGCTAGGATAAGAAACAAATCCAAAGGACCCTTGAAATCTATCACACTACAATTGCAACTCTTGCCAATGGGAGGCGACGATTGCATCGATGACCATGGGTGCCTCAATTGCACGGTTTATGGCGTGGGGTTTAGTGCATCGGGCTAAGAGCTAGGGGTTTCGTCCGGTGGCTACCAGGGCTTATGCTTAGGTGCGGCATTAGGTACCCATAACAAATTACACACATGCACTGTTTCGGGAAAGGATCTAGATATAGATATCGGTATATTAAAATCACAGAGAGAGAGAGAGAGAG